CCCTTCACTTTGGCTCGAAAAAATTCTCAATTTTTTTTGCAGCATTTTGGTTGCTTCTATTCGGTAACATACGGTAAATATTAATCTTTATATTTTTTAAGGGAAATTATAGGCATCTCCCGCGGGATATACATCTCCCAAAATTCCTTAAGTTTATTTACGTTAGGATAACGTTTAATTTAGAGTTAGGAATAAAAGAAATATATGTAAATTTGCCCAAAGAAAACTTTTTGTTAGTGCATAAAAGGAGGTTTCTTATGCGTTTTTTTGAGAAATAGATGGTTTTTTCTTTGAACTAACGTTTGTTTTGAAAGTTTCTGATCGTGTTACGTTACACCAAATCGTGGCTCGCTATTGGCTAACGGATACGAGAGATACGTCTCCCGCGGGAGATGCCCAAAAGCACCCATTTTTTAATACAATAATATTAATAAAAAATTATAAACAAAACTGCCAAAGTTAAAAAAAAATCTTAATAATTCTAATCAAAATTATACTTAATACTATTAACTATCTACCTATTTCAATTAGCTAATTTTTAAAAAATAAATTTTTTTATTTCAACTTTACAAATTTGTAAAATCCAAATAAAATTTTCACAAATTTGATTAAATACTTATTACAGTATTAAGATATCTTCCGTTTTAAACTTTTAATAAACGTTTTCTGCAATTTGATTGGCCGATTACTTAAACTACACCCTCAAGATGCACTGGCGATAATAATACGCTTAGGGTTTAAATCATGTGACTGACATAAAGCTCGCAAGTTCATAACATTCTAAAAAACTTCATATATTGTGGTAGATTAAATGAAATTCAGATTAAAATGAAATAATAATATAAAATCTCGAAAAATAAATTTTTTTAGTGGGTATTTTTTAGGGCTAGGGGTTAGAATTAGGGGTTAGAATTAGAGTAAAATATATTAAACAAGTATAAGTGGGTTTTAGAAGGTTAGGAGGTTGAATAGAAAATGTAGATTTCATTTTAAATTATGATCTGCGACATATATTGATTTAGTATCTATATTTCTGTCTTTATCAAACCTTATTAACCAATCAAAGTACACTTTATATATCACACGACAAGGGCATGCCCATGCCCCTGTGCTCTAAACCCTAAATACGCTTTAAAATAACAAAATTTTCAACTTCGGATCTTTAAATAAAAGCTTTAACATAAAATTCTAGTTATAGAAGGCATCTTAAAATACGAAACAATAGAAAATTTTGATATATTCCGAACCTAAAGTTTTTAAGCCAGGTGTCCGGAATTTGCTTGACATAAAAATATCCGCCTGAATAAGATGAAATACTTGATATATATTTTACTAATACTGTATTTATTTATGCTTCAAATTAACAACATAAAGACCTTGTTTTATTGTTTAATTGTATGTAAATCATAACTTTTTGAAGTAAGAATGTGATCATTTGTCATTACAGTATTATTAATTTTCATGATCTTTGTCAACATTCTTCTTAGTCTTCTTGCGTGGTGGCTCCTTTTCGCTATCAGTCTCATCTGGTACATCGCTCAATCCATCCGATTCATTTTTATTATTATCACCTTCCTGTCTTTCGTCAATTGCATTGTCATCTGGTTTCTTGTCTGCACTATCATTGACCGGATCCTTTTCTACATTATCATCTTCAGGATCTTCAGACTTATCGTCCTCGCTTTCTATGGTCTCAGGTGATTTAAATTTACTTTTGACAGTCTTTACAGTATAAAGTTCAGTACCATCTGTATCAGTAATGTGATAATTCAAATATATATATATATTTATTTAAATACCTTTGTGGTCCCTTTCTTGGCGACCCTAACCCTTTTTTTTGGCTTTTTATCTTCCTCATCATCGTCGTCATCATTGTTATCAGGAGTTTCGGATGACTTGAGAGATTTTAACGATAAACAAAATAAATGAATAAATATGCATTTATACGTGTCTGATTTAAACCATTATATAAATACCTTTTTCGGAGGTTCAGTTTTTTTGGCGGTTAGAGTTCTTTTATTTTTGGTATCCTTAGCGCGATCGAAATAAGGTTCCCTGTCTTTCTCTGACATATTATTCCAAGTATTTAACAACTGCTTATCAATTTGAGTTCTAGTTGCAGATTTGTTTTCTTCTTTAGATTTGAATATGCTTCTCTGTTCGAGAAAGAATATATCTCGAGCTTTTTGATTCAATTCTAATTTTTTAATTTTATCTTTATGCAATTTTAGATCTTTTTTATTCGAAGTATCGAAAGGTTCTTTTATAAATTCAATTAACCTTTCGATAATTGAAGATTTGTCACCCGATACTTTAATATTAAAAAAGGCGCACATCTTTTTCAATGCAATCATTTTCAATTTTTCAAGCTTTTCTTTGATCACCGTTGCATCGACGGGAGATTCAGGATTAAGACCTGAGAAAGCGCGTAGATGCGACTTGATGTCATTTTTTGTACCAGCTCGGCCGTAAAATAATCTGTGTATGTTTTTAAGAGTTTCGTCCGATGTTTTGTGCTTGTCGATTGCACGAGCTACTGATGGGATTTGACCAAGTGGGATACCCTTTCCCTGGACTATATTAACGGGTGGTTTGATACGTAACTTTGTTTCAGAAGCTTGAGAGCCATAAGGCACAACTGGACGTGCTTGTCGTCGAGGTCTATCATTAAGCACGGGTTCAACTTCGCCTACGTGCTTTCTTTTTTTACTTGTTTCCGAAACTTTTTCACTCACAGTTTCAGCTGGCTCATCAGACGACATTTTGGCCTGCTCCAACGATTCTGCCATGAGGATCTGGATTTATAAATGATTATATATGTAAAATTTTTAACAGTTGTAAAAAAATGAAATTTAATATTTGCGACTTCGCGTAAACAAACGTTCGTGACGTTAGTGGCAATAGTTACGGGCCAAAATGTTGTCGTTATATAACCCGAACATCTGGAGGATTGGTATCATCTGATTATTAGCCAATGATATTTCTTTGCATGTGACGAGACTTTTTTAGATCATGTCACTTTTGGGGGTCGCCCTGGCTAATTCTACACGCTCCTAGCTCTTTATTCACCCCTGTAATTATGGCCAATAGAATTTCAGGACCGGGTGTAACGTAAAAATCGAAACGAAACCACTTTCTTTCAAATAACTAAATTTTAATTAGGATAATCGGACCCGAAAAATATCAATCAAAATTTAAGATTAGGTGTCAAAACACATAAATAAAAACCAAGAAAACCATGTTATAATTAGGGTTAGGATTAGAATCATATAATACTTATTAGTAAAACATCACAAAAACTATTTTTATTTTTTATTTTTTTTTTTTTATTAAGGTGACCCCTTCGGTCAAGTACTTTTACAAAAACCATTTTTAATCATATTACAGAAAGTGGTTTTCTAGTTAAAATTGTAAAAAATAGATTTGTTTCAATTTTTATATTACACCTGATCATGGTCAAAATTATAGAGGTGAACAATTTTTTAAGAATATATAGATAACTTAGATTTGAATTTGTATAATTTTGGCCAAAATAAGTGTATAAAATGAACCAAAATTTAAATTTTTACTATGCAAAAATATAATATTCAATGAATTTTTATACAAAATTTTCTTTTTATATTTTTTAAAGTTCTGGTTTAATTAAAAATATTTTTTATAATATTATTAACAATAACTTTTTTTGCTGATTCTTTTTTCTAAAAAATAAACAAACTAAATTTTAAACAAAAATCAAATTAAACAAGCTTTCAACTTTTAGAAAGAAAGAACTAGTACTTAAATTTATTACAACTTTATTAGTAAAAGATCTAAAATAAAAGCAACTAGAAAAAATATCTTGAAGATACAAATTTTTTTTGATAAAAATTTAAAAATTGTGAAAATTGGTCTTGATCTTAAAAAAACAAATAAGAACAACATGGTTTTACTAATTTACTTCCTATTAT